CCAAATGGAGCTCTTTGTCTCCCTGTGACCCCGCTTCTAACTTCTCTAATACTGTGGAGGGCAATCATTGCAGTCCTCATTCTCCCTCACCTGCCCAAAATGTGGCCCAAAGCAGTCATTTCTGCCGTCACAACAAACCTCCTGTATGTCCCCTTTCTTCTCCTCACACAACTGCCATATGCATTCTGGCCCTCCTCACCTCTCACCTGGACTTTGGCAAAAAACTTCCAATCTGTCTTCCCACCTGGTCTTTCCAGCTCTAGTGCCCCCTACCCTCAACTGCCCAGGTGATTTTCCTAAAGCTCAGGTCTGACCATGTCAACCCCCCCCCCAAAAAAAATGTCTCTCTATGACTTCCAGGGACAAATGAAAACTCCTTTGTTTGGTCTTTAGAGCTGTCCATAGCCTGGCTCCTCTCTACCTCTTAAGTCTTCTCAAACTACACTTCAGACATTCCGTGATCCACCAGGACGTCTGCGTGTTGTTCACTCAATCTCCTACCTCCATACCTTTGCACTGCCTGTCCCCAGGCAGGGGAAGTTCTTCCCCCTCATGTCCACCTCTTAGTTTCTCTGCCTCCCTCCAGGATGCTCAAAACCCAGCTCCTTGTGCTGGAGGAACTGGCATTGTGTAACCGAGATATAGGCGGGATACACTGGAGATAATCGATTGAATAAAGGGAGACCGGAAAGGCTCTCGTAGGAGATGGGATTTTAGCTGGGAGGGGAAACTGGGAGGCAGGGATGGGGAAGGAGGGTGTCCCAGACCTGGGGGCAGGCAGAGAAAAGGCTCAGAATTGGGGGATTTTACCTCTCTTTGTATCCCCCCTGCTTTGCACAGTGCCTCTCCCATAGTAATCTTAAATGCTTGCTGCCTGCCTGCCTGGTACAGATGGTCCTCTGGGAGAACATTGCTGGGTGCTTACCTCCCTCCTGCAATCAGGGTTCTGAAGAACCTTTCCCTTGGCAAGTCCACTCTGCTTCCTCCGAGGTCCCGTCCGCTCCCTTCCTTGCACAGCTAAGTACTTTCAGAGAAACTTCACCCCTGCCTGTTCTCCCCTGGGAGCGTTCCCATCTTTGGCCCCTCCGTGCAGCAGGGTCTCTTCCCCCACCTCTTTCCTGCCCCTGCCCTCTGGAAGGGGCACCAGGCTGGCCTGTTCTTTGTCCTCAGACTTCTTGTGTATCTAGACACACCCAGCCTAAACCTCTCCTGGCAGCCTCTGGACTTCTGGACCTGCACCACCTCCTTTTCAGCCTCTGTTCACTTAGCACCTCAATAAAGGTCATGAGCGCTGTTTTTATTGTGGAAAGAGAGAGCACTTTGCTAGGGCCGCCATGATGGAAAGGCGGGACCTATGGGGCCCTTAGGTTACTGGAACCCAAGGCGAGACCTAAATTGGCCTCAGAGATAAATTTTGCTCCGCAAAGAGGGGTCTGATTCTGGCAGTGCTTAAATCAAATAGAAGGGTGTGGAGGGGTCCTAGAGCAAAATGACAGTTTGAACAACAGGAAAACCTCTGAGCATGAAGATGCGGGCAGAGGCAGGGAACAGTATTTTCACATCTAATACCCTGTCTAGTCAGACAGGAGCATGTCATGGGCCTCAGGTGGCCCACAGCACTCTGGCCAGAAGCCAAAACCAGTTAAAATGTAATTGGGAAACATTTAACAAAATAAATAAAAACACAATACAATAAAGATAACATCACATTTTACAACTAAGTTAGTCTGCAGTGGGCAGCCCGCAGGAATCCTTATGTACAGATTAGCGGCTTCTTTTCTGTTGGAGTACATCCAGCTGACGGCCTCTTCTGGAATCTGTCTCCTCCCTTGTTTTCCATGACTTTGGACTGGCTTTTATTTTACTACCCTGCCTGGGTTGTGCCATCCACCCACCCAGGTCTTCTCACTGTTCCTCACCCTCGACACAACATCTTCCAGCTCTGTGCTGTCCTCCTGGCTCTCCTCCAGGTCTGGAATGTTCTCTTTCCTCTCCTCCACCTTCTGGTTTCCCTGGCTGCCTTCATGACCCACCTCAAACCCTACCTTCTCCAGGAAGTCTTTCTTTTCTTGGTCCTTCCCCTGCCCTACTGCCAGTGCCTCTGAGACAACCTTGCATTGATTTTACACACACACACACACACACACACACACACACACACACACACACACACACAC